TACTGGTTTCGGTGCTTGGAGTGGTGGACTCAGATGCGGTGCTCTCCGGTGAAGTACTGGTCGGGGCCGTCGTCGTCAGAGTGACGGTTGTGATTGTAGTTGGTGTGGTGGTTTTGGTGGGCGTTGTAAAGGTAGTGGAAATGGCAGGGGTTGACTTTGATGTTGTGCTCTCTGGTGAGCTAGTGGACAAGGTAGTCGTGGTGAGAGTGAGGGTTGTGGGTGTAGTTGGTTTGGCGGTTGTACTTGTTTCGGTGCTTGGAGTGGTGGACTCTGATGCGGTGCTCTCCATTGAGCTTGTGGGTAGAGATGTCATTATTAGAGTTTCAGTCGTGTGTGGAGTTGGCATAGCTGTTTCTCTGGTTTTCGTTGACCTAGTGTAAGGAGTAGGCGTTGATGAAGTAGTTGTTGATGTCTTTGTTATAGTTGGTGTCGTAATGGTTGTTGTCATACGTGGAGTTGTATGTTTTTTTGCTTTTTAAAGAAAATATATTATATTAATATAATAGTAATAATATGATATATAGAAAAATAAACTGATAATTTTGCAAACTATGAACTAATGATAAGTGTAGCTGTTAATGCCTCTTATTTTTAAGGTTGCCCAATGCTTCCTATTGTAAAGCCCTCTTTCTAGCTGGCTATAACTTTGTGAACTTTAATTATGTGTGTGAAATTTTCTATTTCCTGTGCCTTTATCAACCTCATTTTTTTCTGGAAAATCTGCCAAAATTTGTTCATGCTATTAGGTTTTGAAAAATCGCAGTTCATGCATCCTCAGTGAAGACTTCTTTGATTCTTAATCAAGTAGATGGAGCTGTGTATTACATATAGGTAAGCATGCCCAGTGCACCGAAGCCAGAAAACTCTGCCTACTAGTACCATAGAGGCAATGCTGATGCCCTGTGGCCCTAGCCCCTCCCTTAGTTATATAATGGCTGCACCACCCCAACCCCTACTCAGTTCATTTTCACCCCCTTCAGCTAGACTTCACATTTTCAGTCTCAGCTTTCTGAGAGATTTTTCCGTTTTCCTCTAGATAATAGTTAGTAGTATCTCAGGTGTAGTTTAGTGTTAGTGTAGCGGTAGTTAGACTAATTGGCTGCTGTGTGTCATGCCCTCACCAGAGTTCAAGCATTGTCCATCATGTGTTGAGGGGCATTCCCAATAGTGATCCCCACATGAGATGCTTGTTATATCTTGGCAAAGGACACATTAAGGAATGGTGTTCCATCTGTAAATCACTTAAAAGAGGACTCAAGTGGCAAGAGACTTATAACTGAAGCAGCACCTTCTGGAGCAGCTTATGAGGCCTGGTTTGGCATCGATGCCCTGGTGTAATTGGTGGCTGCCTTCAGAACTGGCCGGTGATGCTGCTTCACATTCAAACCCTGCTGTTTCCCGCAAAGGGAAGATGATTCATTCTCCCTCCTCTGGTGCAGGGATGAAGAGGTTCCATAAAACTAATCGGGAACACTCTAGGGCTCAGGGAGACTCTCTCATTTTACAAGAGGAGTGCTGACCAGCACTGTACTCCTTCTGGCATGCGGGATAGAAAAGGTCCATTTACCTGCTCCCCAGTACTGCTCTGAGATCAGCAAAAGTCTGTACCATCGACTCTTGTTCTGGCCAGGGGGTGTCCACTGAGTCCAGTACTGATGACGTCAGCATCAGCACTGACTGTCTCCACACTGGTGGCATATCAGATGGCTTCAGACCTGCTTTGCCCCTTGCTCACTGACTCTCTACTAGTTCAGCAGTTTTCCAGTGCCATAGTTTCTATCACTTTGCTCTCCGTTGTGCCATTGGTACCTTCAAGCTATAGCACATTGCTGCCGGGTTCATTGGCACTGCAGCTCATACCATCTACAACAGAATTGAGGCTGACACCAAGCTCGGCACCAAAGTCCCCCTCAATGCTGGTGCATCCTTTGGCACAGTCACTGCCCTGGCAGCAGATCCTGTCATCGAGATTGGTACCATTGTTGACCTCAGTTCCAGCACCTCCTCCAGTACTGGGTGGAAGTGTGTCTTGCTCAGTACCACTGGTGCCAAGTCCCTGTTCCTCTTTGGCACTGATGCTGTCCCCATTTTGGACTTTGGATGAGTCTGATTGTTTGTTTGCCTCATCAGGGATGGCTCTCCTGTTGTCAACAGGGACTCTCCGGGACTCCTTGAAATCCAGGTGTCATCCTCCCCTCCTTCCTCACCCAATAGGCACCAGAGACCATCTTTGGATCACCATGGATAACAAGATTGCATTGTTCTCGCAGTCAAGACAGGGCTCTTGGCCCAGTGCCCACTGGTCACCAATGCCATATTCATTTGCCCAGTGGCCTCCTTGGGATGCTCATTGGTCTTTGAGGTCTCATTTGTTGACCTGCTCCACAGCAAGATTGCCAGTCCCATTGGTGGCTCCTGTTGCTGAACCATTGCAGCTAGAAGTGACCATTGAACCTGTCCCCTCTGGGCCTTCAGGATTATCCGACTGGTTCCTGTTGTTCAAGAACAGGATCCGTTGTTGGCACTGCAAACCACTTCTTTGTCCTCTCCAGATGACTCTACTGTGCCAGGCTTCTCCTCTTCCTTGATGCCTGGGGACTTGCAGGCATATCAGGACTTCCTGAGGCATGTGGCCACTATCTTAGGCATCCAGGCTGAATTTCTGCAGGAGGATTTGCATAAGCTGCTGGATATTCTTCACTCATCACACCATCCACCTCCTGATAAATTAGGCTCTCTTGGAGCCTACAAAGGCCCTCTGGAATACTCCTACATCATTGCCTCCCACAGCAAAACATGCAGAGAAGCGGTACCTCATCCCCATGTGGGGTTTTGAGGATTTCTACTCCCACCTGGCCCCTAATTCTTGTGGTAATTGCAGAAAATGACAGGACACAACAGGGAAGGTATAAATCTATGCCTAAAGGCAAGAAGTCCAAAAGGATGGACTTGATGCGGAGGAAGATTTATTTCTACTATTTCCTCCAGTTGTGCATCATCAACGCCTTCTGGTTCTTCTCTAAATACAACTTTGTTAATTGGGCGGCCATATCTAAGTTTGAGGACAAGTTGCCAGAATCCTCCAGGGAAGACTTTAAGGCATTAATTTCACTGGGCTTTATTGTAGCCAAGACTTTGTTACAGTCATCCATGGCATCAGATGTGATCATGAGGAGGGCCTCATGGCTGCAGAATTCAGACCTTGCATCTGATGGACTAAAATTTTGATGGTTGGGTTTTGTTTTCAGAAAAGACTGATGGGACCCTGCAGTCTTTTAAAAGGGCTGCCCTTTGGTCCTTTGTACATATGTTTACAAACCACTATGCTGTTTCTACTGCATCCAGCTCAGATGAAAACTTTGGGAAGGCAATCCTGCAGTCCTTGTTTAAATAGACTCCAAGCCCCACCTCCTGTGAGTACTACTTGTGAGTCACCTACATGGAATACATGGCTGCATCCACTCAAAGAAGAAAAAAAGGTTACTTAACGATATTATAACAGTTGTTCTTCAAGATGTGATGCAGATGTGCATTCCACAACCCACTCTGTGTTCCCCTCTGCACTGGGGTCTGTGTTTCGGTGCAAAGGAAGTTAGGAGGGTGAGGGAGGTGCTGCCCTTATATAGCCAGGGAACGGACTAGGGCCACAGGGTGCAAGTGCTGCCAATATAGATACTGCTAGGCAAAGTTCTCTGGCTTCTATGTTCTGGGTGCATGCACACCCACATGGAATACACATCTGCATCACATATTGAAGAACAATAGTTACAATACCGGTAACTAACCATTTTTTAGAAGCTAAATTCCCTTAAGATGCTATCTGCATTGCTCATGTCCAAGTCTGGTGTGGAGCACGACTTTCTCTGCAATTGCAGCTCTTGCAAGTTGAGGATGCTCCTACTTTTAGTATTTATTTTAGTGCATGACAAACTGAAATTAGAGTCCTCTGCTGTTCACAATAAAGTTTCACTCTCATGGCATTTGTATAACAAACAAAACATTAATTGTTAATATCTTCAGTGCTATTCGAATAGGTAAGATTTTCAGTTCTCTAGGCATAAATGATGTATATTGCAAAAATCTTTTTTAAAAGAGCACAGTATTGAGTGTACAATTTGTACAATAGAATGGGAATTAAGTCTAGGTAAAATTAGTGGCGCTTCCTGTGTCTCTCATAAACTCAGTCTTTCTTGAATATGGATTGAATTTCATAGTGACATAAAACCCCATATACTTCACACTTTTAAATGCTTCCATTCTGCAGCCTACACACGTTTTTCTTAACAGTGTACTTTTTTTAAACATGCAGACAATTGGATAAATGTAATTTAATTGAAACAATGGCAGTAATGAGAAAAAAAAACAAAACAACGTACCAGTTGTTGAGATGACTGTGACTGTAGGGGTGAGTGGTGTTTCTGAGGTTGGAGATATGGTTGTTTTGGTGGTGGTTATTGGTGAAGTAATCTCAGTTACTGTTCTGATTGGGGTAGTTGACAGTGTTGTCTTTTTCGTAATGGTGGTTACTGGTATGGAGTGAGTAGTGGATTTGATTGTGATAGGTGTTGTTTTTATGGTTACTTTTGTAGTAGATAGGGTGGTTGGTGTAGTGCTTAAAACAGTGTGCATGGTGGACTCTGTAGATGTAGTGGCTGTTGGTGGTACGGTAGTAGTTGGTGTTTTAACTGTAGTAGTGCTTCTTGGTGTTTTAGTTTGTACTGTTGTCGTTACTACAAGAAAAAATAATACAAATGTGGATATTGAGTACAAGAAATATTTTTTAGTAATGAATTTCTATAAATGTATGTCATATGAATAGAAAAATGATTTTAGGAAGAAGTAATATTACAAATATCTTTTATTAGACACACACAATTTGACACAACTTAACTACCCTCCCCTTCTCTGTCCTTCTTAATAATGTACTGATAAATGGCCCAGAATAGGAAGATGTCACAAAAACTTTATTCATTTTTTCTTTCTTCAATATACTTTTAAGTTATGTCAGCATTCATAAATAATGCTAAGAGCTATGGAAATTAGTCTATTATCCTCTGAATTTTACAGTGTGGACAGTTGGCACTGTAATCTTTTCAACACTGCCCTTACATTGGCCTTGATTTTACAAAGACATACACTTGCTTTGAGTTCCAGTGACATAATAGGAATTCCACGCAAGTGTAAGGGTCGGCAACTTAGATCTCTTTAACATATTGGACGAGTATGTCTTGACTGTTATGTAGAATGAGCACTTCTAAGATTGAGAGACTGTTTGATCTCCAGACATGATCAGTCATTAGTCTCTGAAGACTACCAACTAGTCACAATTGTGATGCATATATCTCTCCACTAAGAACTGAGCTGAGACTACTGATTAATTTAATATACAAGTAGGCCAAGTCAGGTGATAATTGTCTTTTGTCGACCTCAGCTTGTCCTGAATTTTTACCAGTAGAGATATCTCATTGCCAATGTCTTGAAACATTCAGTAATCACAATCCCGCTATAACTTCCTTCTGAATTTAAGACAAAACGTTCAAGAGAGTTTTGTATAATGCCAGGATATATTTCATTATTGCATCTTAAGCATTTCAGAGGAAGGTGAAATAATCTTACAAGGACAAAAAGTGCTTACTATTGAAAATGAGAAGTCAATAATATGTATCTGGACGATAATATGTGACTATTGTATCACATATTATTTCCATTGACTACAGAACTAACCTGTTGACGGTGTAGAGGTCTCAGGGGTCGTCAAAATGTGTTCTGCTGTGTACAGATAGAAGAAAAGTTTTAACATGTGAAAGAGAACAAATTAAGAAGCTATTCCAAAGGGGAGAGTTTACAGAATGAGTGAAAAATGAAAGAATTGCAACAGTCAGCAAGACATCCCTGAAAATGCTCAATTCTTATATATTTCATTGCAAATCTTTATTTCACTAGAAACAAACAATATTGAGGAAATCAGTACTTTGTTTGAATGGCCATGCTTTTTCTATCTTTGTCACTATGTTCATATTTAAGGATAGCTTTATTTCTCAGGAAAATGTACATATGGATTTTCTGCAGATGGTATAGCCCCAATAACTAGGAGCCTGGAATGAAGGTTGTTATTGTATAGCATAGAAATGGCCCTGGATCCAACATCTAGATGCAGATCCAAATTTTGCAACTTTGGGCCTATCTGTAATATTATCTACCTATCTATATTTTTATAAGATTCCCCATCACTGTGATATAGGGGCACCACTTAGTAGTAAAGATTTCAAAAGTAATATAAAGCTGGCATGTTAGAAAAAGGAACTTGTTAGATAAAGTCTAGGAACTGGATTCTGTCCAGTGCCAGAACTCCGCTCACTGTGGGAAAGGTGTCAGGGAGCCAGTTATTTTCAGGGGCACTGAGACATTTATAAAATGCTCAAGCTTAGAATGAGGGTAACCTTTCATCACAACTATTAAAATCAATCTGAGCATTCCAACTACCACTGAATTTACAATGCTTCATAGCCTGATGTTTTTTAGTTGCCTGTTTTCATTTAACCATCTGATGACGAGTTAGCAGTAGAGCAATGCAATTATTACAGAGGAGATTTGTGCTTGGATGAGCAGTCATTATTAACCAATAGTTATTAAGAACAAACTCCTCCTTCAAAGTATTCATCTTATTCAATTTTTAATGCTTCTAGCTTTTGCAGAGAAAGAGAGTGACTGTATAAATCTCTACTTACTGCAGGGCTTGCACTGTCTCTCCTCGTGATCAAAGTATTCATTGTGTGAGCAGTTGTAACAGCCTGGAGATTGTGGAGAGAAGTACATTACTCAGTCCTCAGATAATAGCAGTTTTCTATAACCCTTCTTCCTAAACCTGTCTGGTTTTAAGATTAAGTTAGATAAGTTTATGGAGGGAATGGTTTAATGGTAAAACATATTAGCCAAGGAATACCAAGCAATGGCAGGTAAATAGTATAATGGCTAACAGGGGTCAGGCTAGAGACTCTTGCCTACATGCTCGGGGTCTTACTGATCGTCATATTTGGGGTCGGGAAGGGTAGATTGGCTGAGGCCCTGGAGGTTTTTCGCCTTCCCCCGCAGCATGGGGCAGGGATCGCTAGCAGGAGGGTTCTCTGCCAATTGAAGTCACTAAAACACAGGATTTGGGGACTTCAACAGCAGAGTCAAGGGAAGGGGTAGGGACGGTTTTGTGGCCTGCAGCATGCAGGGGGTCAGACCAGATGATCATAATGGTCCCTTCTGACCTTAAAATCTATGAGTCTATGAATCTAATATAATAATATGACGTTAACAGAAAATGAACATGTATTGCCCAAAAGCTGTGTCTGTCATTTAACCAGTGGCATCTACAAACTCCTTAAGGAAATTTCTCTTGATATGGTAAGGATTAGAAGCTTCACATTCAAGACAGGCTGAGCTCATTAAAGCACTCAGTGTACTATGCGTCTATGTCAATTACTTATCATTGTGATATTAGTAAGAGAAGGTGAAGATGAACATACAACAGTAAGACTATGTAACCACTGCTCCAAAAATTATGCCAATGGAAACATCATTGTCTTAACCATTGGTTAATACAATAAAGATAACTATTGCGTTATTATTTTCAGCTTTATAAAGTCATTGTGACAGATATTGCAACCACATGCAATATCTTTGGGGACCATATTGTATTAAATTAATGAATGGTTTATATAACATTGTAGGCCAGGGATTGTATGCAACTCCAGGTGGGGAGGTTACCACAGCTCCTCCAGGAACCTAAAAAGTGAGGTGTGATTAAAGTGAATCACTCAGGTTGTAAACACCTCTGGAGAGGTGTCACACCCAAGTCAGCTTGCATATACTGGTTCAAATTGGGTTTTCCAGAGACCACCAGACAAAGAACGGACTTCTGGTATAAAATGTCTGAGTTTAAACTAACACAGGGCCTTCTTCCGATTCAGCAAATGGACAGGACCCTTTTGGAAGAACTTTGGCTTACTAGGACCCTATAAGGCTGATGGGTGACCTCTCAGAAGTTTTTAGCATGCATGTAACAACTTTTATTGTTTTTATGTGTTTTCTCTGTAATGCTTTTACCCTAAGAATACATGTATTTAGTTTTTGTGAAGACTTAGTGGTAACTGGTATACACTGCTGTAGCCCTTGGAGAAAGGTTAACCACAGGTACTGGACCCGGGTCCAACGTGCTGGGGAAATCACAGTGAAGTGGAGAAGGACTGCAAGCCTAAACCCCGAGTCTGGAGGGAGAGAGGCATAGAGCTCTGCCTGAGAGGCATGATGGCTAGGAGCTTGAAACCATAAGTGGGTGTTCTCGAGGAAGACCTGCGGTGGGAGAGCGGTCAAAAGTGCAGCTAACCCTGAAACTGTGAAATCATTACCTTCAATGTTGACATATTTGTAGTTTTGTTGTGGGCAATTACAAGGTCGGTAATGCCAGGTGCAATTTTGTTCATCCCAATAATTGTAGCTGTAGGTGCCCTCACTGCCTGACTTTCGGTGTGTGTTGAAGTAGTCACAATAGACAGCTGAAAAAGCAAAAACAGAATGAAAGGTTGAATTTTTCAATTTATGGAATGTAATTCCTCAAAGGATTCAGAATAGGAGGAAGAAAGCGACTCAATGGTACTTGGTGACTCAAGGTAAGCCCTCCAACCTCGACTGTGGGTGAACTGATTTGAATCTGTGTTCTAGTGAGGTGTGAGTTAATTTCCTCCTTTCATAAGAAAAGGGGCAGATATAGGCATTTAGATATTTGTAATGTATAATATATTGATGTGTTAAATGGAAGCTATCAAGAACTATAGCTTTAAAGGTTTGATTATAATACTCTGTGAAGCCTATGCATAAAATTTCTCTATATAGCAACCATTGATAATTTTTCTTGCTTTATGGAGCCCCAGCCAACACAGCTTTCTCTGTTTATTTCCTTCCAATCCGCACAAAGATGATTTCATCACAACTATGAGAACAGGTTTTTTTTTTTTACAATATTGTGTTCCCTCTACTGTCTAGTTGGCTGTCAGTTCTGCAGTAGCAATAGGGAAAATATATTGCAAGATTATTATTTATGACTACTAGATTTTTCTCCCTCATTTCTCCATGACATGGTAATGTGTTTCTGGTGAGGTTAATACTGATGAAATGTGCACGGTTAAGAGCACTACAGGATGCAATCATCCATTTATCTAGCGCACAGATACAACATGGGAAGTGGCCACACAAGCAATCCCCCATGCTGCCCCATCAATGTACCTTAATCCTGTAATAATAATATGTCCCTTAAGCCCCTTTATAATTGGGCAAAGTGTAAAACGAATTGAAAACAAAAGCTAGTAATAAAAATCACATATGTCATTTTTTAAAGGTGTTCAAGAAACTTACGACAGAACTCTGGGGCTCTCCAGTCAATGCAGACACCTACATCTAAGCATGCCTTGGCATACACTGCAATGGCATCACACATGCATTCACAGTCTCCTCCAGAGTCACACCCACAGGAGTCTCGGACACAGGCATCATAATAAGGCATGCGGTATACCTTTGATTGAGAGAGAAGGAATAAATTGGTTAACCAGGATTCTCTTGTACCTGTGCATTGATCAAAAAAGTTTCTTTCCTGTTTCTAGCTGGGCTAAACTACAGATGTTAGTTCAGGGTAAAGGGAGAACATTCAGAACATAATCTGCTCTGCTAAGTGAGAGTATGAATTATTCCTCTAGTTGTTGTGTAGTAAAATAAGCACAGCAATAATACAATTCCAATTCAAACTGTAATCTTTAGTAAAAATTTAGGCACTGCAAAATATCAATAGAAAATTATGACATTTTGAAGGATATCTCTAGAGCTGTATATGTACTTAAACAGCTGTATATAGTTTCCATGTGATTAGGCAGCAAAACACATCCGCTAAAATAGAGGCACCTAAATTCAGCAGTTTCATACCCTGCACGGACACACATAAACACTGTTCACATTTCTCACTTGAGTTCACTTTTTGAAGACATGTTACAAACAGGAGGTACAAAATATTAAAGTGAAGCAGGCGCAAGAATACATTTCATGCATATGGCACTAATGCATCCTGGGGAGGAGGAAGGTACACACTGAAGTGTGAGGGGATCATCCTTTGGAAGACTGTAGACTATGTGTAAAGAAGCCAAAACCTTGCTTACCTTACTGTGACATGGAGCAAAGACCTGGCTGTTGATGATGGAACACTTCCTCTCTGCCCAAGCTTTACGATAAGGGTTCTTGCTACAGGGATCAACTACAAAGAACACATCCCCACACATAGGATTTTCCTTCCAAGAATTTACAAACTCCAGTTCATTTGCTGCCACGTATTTGCTTCGAGTTTCAAAGTCATCTCTCATGTTCCCGTTGTAATTCCCACACAAACCGCAGAGGTGATCCTACATGAAGAAATGAAAGCATTAATATCAAGTTGCCCCCTATTTGCTAATTGCAACCAATTGTCTGAATCACACCTCTAGCCCGATATAACGCTGTCCTCGGGAGCCAAAAAAATCTTACCACATTATAGGTGAAATCATGTTATATTAAACTTGCTTTGATCCGCTGGAGCGCGCAGCCCCCCTGCCCCCAGCGCTGCTTTACTGCGTTATATCCGAATTCGTGTTATATTGGGGTCGCGTTATATCTTGGTAGAGGTGTATCTTTCTGTTATCTGCACTACTTTTTCTGATCCGCGATTGCTATCTATAAATACTGTGCCACATACTGTTAGTTTTTTGTATGTACAGCCTTTCTTGTTAAATGAACAATGGAAGGACATAGTGGAGTTCTTCCTGAATAGTGTTCACAAACAGAGATATAATCTGCACCTTTATGAGGTCAAAATAAATTCAAATGCCCTGTACAAATTTCCCTGCCCTTCTGGGGGATGAAAGGATGTGTTGTCATTTGGACAACACATGAGCTATCAGCTCAAAGATTCATGTTGTTATGAAGTTTGGTAAGCAGCTAATAAGCAGCATCCAGTGAAGATCTCTGCTGCTCCAGGAGGGATGAGAGTTATGAGAGGCCTTCCTAGGAGACTTCTGCTGCTGTAGAAAGTTGTTACAATTGCCATCTCATGTACAGTTTGATTTGAATCTGGGGGTAAATGTATTTAACAAAGAAAGTTAAGGAAAGTTTATTAGGAAGTTACTTTGAATTACCTGTGCTTCTCTGAAGATCTTGATGAAAATATTCATGTGCTTGTTCCAGATAAGAGTCATGTTGTATTTTCCTGGGATAATGATATCGAACATCAGGTGAAGGGCATTCTTTTTCACGTGGAATTGTGTCAGAGGATTGTCCCCATATACAAAGTAGGTTTCCTCTGCCAGTATAAGTGTCATATTCTGAAAGCAAATTGGCCTGTAAGTTATAATATATCTCTCAGTATGTCCCTTTCTGTCTTTGTAACATTACCAGGAATCACTAAAGGGTGCTGCTACAGATTGTCATTTCTCTGTTTTTCTGAACTGATTGATTGTGTTTAGCTCTTGGAGAATTATTTATTGTCAGCTGAGTCACAGTCCTTAGATGATGAGCATCTCTGCCTGAGGTCTGGTCTACACTACAAACCTATATCAGTATAACCATGAGTGATGTAGTTGTACTGACCTAACCCCCCATGTAGACAGCGCTAAGTTAGTGAGAGAGCTTCTCCCCTAGACAGAGCTACTGCCTGTCAGGGAGGTGGATTAACTACGCTGATGGGAGAACTCTCTCCTCGGTGTAGAGCATCTTCATTAAAGCACTACAGCAGCGCGGCTGCATTAGTGCAGCTGTGCCAATGCAGTGTTTTAAGGGTAGATGTGCCCAGACTGTCTATTTCTCAACATCATTCTGAGGTGTAGATGTAGCCTATGTTATGCTTATGTAAGAAAGCAAAGCAGTGCATGATGCCAAAACATTATTCTCTTCTTCCATCTGCACCTATCCCATGCAAAGGTAAAACCTAGCCTGCCCCCAGCTGCCTGGATTTGTTCTATGAATATGCAAGTTTTGATGAACATGAAACAAACCCATCATGTTTCATGGTCAGTGTAGGGTGCAACAGCATTTTGTAATGGATTGTTTTGTTGTATATAACACTGCCATCACACTTATTTTATCTGTGTGCAGACAGGCTGAAGCACAGAGTTTTATTTCCATGATTTAAAATGAGTAGATGCAAAGTTACATAGAGAGATGGTAGCTAATATTGAGTCGATCAGTTTTGCCTTTCATGCACTCTTGTACTTTTACATCTTTCCTGAGAGCAGTGGTGCACAATAACAGTTACTTTTGAACCAATAATAGTGTTCCTCTGGAGCAAGTATTTAGGAGTTAAGTGCAAAAGAAGCTACTAGCTTCTTCAGTAAAGCATTGGCATTTTGCCTTTGCTGTTGCTAATTAACCAGGTGGCAAGTGTGTGCTGTATGTAGTGATAGTTCCCTGGTCAAAACCCCAACAGTCCTCATTTGGTTTGCTATTGAAGCATGACTCTGAGATAATCTGATATTGATGTACTTTTGGTTCCCTCAGGACTAAGAACCACAAACCTACAAGAGAGGATGGAAGTTCTTTGGTAACAGAGAAAATAAGAATAATCAATTTCTCTAGTTTATGTATGCACCAACAGTGAGATAGTAGAGGAACTATAGGCAATTGGAGCCAAAGCCCACTAGCTGGATTACAGGGATTTTTTAGAATTCATATGCTGACCATGATGAGTCTTCCTTAATTTCACACAACTGCCTTCTTGGCTTCAATCTGTGGCTCAGGCAACATGATTGATACGCTTCCGTTGCAGGATTCTCCAATGTGAGGGTAAAATCCAAGGCTTTACTCTCATGGCTTTTAAACAGACCACAACTTCGGGGAGTGAAAGACTGAGATAGGGATTTCAAACCCTACTCCACAGCTCTAGGTCACCAAGTAGACTGCCCTATAAGACTTGACTGTAGACTCCTACACTGATATGAGGTCCAACCCAGATGGATAACAGCAGCATGATGTTCTTACCCCAAGGTGGATCTTGATGGACCTGGAGCAGGTGACTCCTGATTTCCCACAGATGACATTCTCAGTCACAATTTTAAAGGTGGAGTGAGAGCTGTTCATACCGCAACCATCCTAAAGGAGAGAAACAGAATTGCTTAACCATTTGAGAATTCAAAGTAACAGGGTGAACAAGAAGATTCAATGTGCTGAACTATCACTTCAGGGAGTTTGCCTCTCAGCAAAACAGGCCAGCCTCACACACACTATCCCCATTCCCTGTGTAGCATGCTATAATTCCATCTCTGACTAGCTTCAAATCCAGTTATCAAGGAAATCATTTCAGTGGAATTTGTATACTGGCATCCCTCAGCTTCTGGGGTATTCTATGGCTTGGGGCAGCTTGGGCATTTTACCCATCTCAGAAACCACATTTTTGCAGGGGGAAAGGAGGGAGTCAGTAGGGTACTGCACCCTTGCATGGTGTTACTCTTGAAAGTACCAATGATCAAACTGCTGATTTGGTTTTAAGAATTACATCACTTCATTAGAAAACACTGTGTAGCTGGTGCAATATGCCTATGTCGGTAGATCATCCACAGGCACTCAAGTATGTTAGGAAATTTTCTTAGTGTCTTTTTGTGATTTCATATAAAATGTTGGGACTATGGTTGGTGTTGTTTGTTTTTGTTTGGTGTGTGTGTGTGTGTGTGTGTGTGTGTGTGTAAGGGGTTTTCAGATGAGGTCTTGAAATGAGCCCTAAATATGTCAGAGTTCATAAATCAAGCCATTTCTTGGCAATGAGTACATTGCCATAAGAAGCACTAGCACTGATGTTACCGTAGCTAGTATGTATTCGCAGTTGCCATCAAACACAAAGCGCTGTCCATCAAAAGTGGTGACATGTCCTTCTCCATAGAGGGTACATGTTGAGGAGCATTTAGATTTCTGAACACATTTCCATTTGCCTCTTGTACAGGTGCTAGTGGTGAGAAGAAAATTCTTGTTAGGAAGTTTTCAAGGGCATGCAGCTTTAACTCATCGCTACATACACACATTTTATATATGCTGTATTAACTTCATTGACTTAGTTTATATATGCAATGTAGTCAAATTATGATTAATATGGGAACTGTAACTTCAAATTTCCTGACTTTTGTGAAAATTAATGCATACTAAAGATGAAATTTTAAGTATATTTTTCCATTTAATTTACTTTAAAAAAGAGAAAACATGAGGCATTACAGGTTACATTGCCTTGAGTAAACAGCTCTTCTTGTCACTAAAGCAGATTTTGCTGTCCCTTTGGTTATTTTAATGAGAAGATGTGGACAGGGATGCTGGAACAATTTTTATAGTGGGGGTGCTGAGAGCCATTGAACCAAACTGTAAACCCTGTATATAATGGAAACCACTTCAAGTCAGGGGGTGCTGCCGCACCTCCCTGCTCCCCTAGTCCATCACCTATGGGTGTGGAACTGGAAATGGTAGCAACTGCTGACTGAGAATGTAGCTAGAAAAGATGGAAGTAATATCGATGGGTCAGTTGATCTATCTAGAGAAAGGGAGGATTGTGCTTGCACTTTCAATTGTGGTGGAATTGATATACTTTTCTAGTATGGCTTATAGTTTGAGGGTGCTATTGGATCCCACACTGCTTCTGGATGTGCAGATAGCATCAATTGTCATTATAGCCTTATCATTTTTGTGGCTGACCAGGAGACCACGACCTTTCCTCTTAGATATAGACATTGTCACAGTTATCCGTGGTTTCATCACTTTCACGCTTTATCATTATGGCAGAATTTGTTTAGCTCTGACCCTCAACTGCTACCTATTCTTCTTCTCCTTGCAACCATACTGTTGCACTGTATGCTTGTACAGTCTAGACAAATAAATAACTAGCAAAGAGAAAACTTGTAGATTCTTACCAGGTTTTGCATTCAGTGTGGATTTCTTCCCCTTTTTTATAAGAGATGCCACCATATTCACAGGGACACTCATCAGGTGGTACACACATTCCATCTAGATTCTCATATAGCCCATCAGTGCAGACACAGCCTGATTCACACCTAGTGGGTACCTAGGAAAGATCAGGAAATTGCAACATCAGTCATAAAAAACAGTGCATGAAGGCAAGGAATGTAAAGAGAATGGATTGAAACATTTTGTTTTTATTGACCTATAGCCTTTCTTCAGTTTTGCTTTGTGTTATTTATTTGGTGCCAAGAGCCAGTCTATGCTATTACTTAAATCACTTTTACTTGTGCAAGTTAATGCCCTGTTATACAAGTTTTACTGCATTTGTAAAATATAACTAGTGTCTGAGGCAATAAGCTTTCTGGGGACTCCTTGAAAAAAGTTGTATTTCATGGGTACCAGCTGCTCAGACAATTCAAGAATAATGTATGTTTCTTTCCAGCCCAGAAGTCTGTTACATTATAATTCTGCTAATTGCTGTTTCTTTATTTAATAAGAAACCTTTATTACATTATGAAATATATATATACTGTTAGGTATATATATCGATATATACTGTGATTTGTAACTCTTTTCCTGTAATCAGTCAACATTTGGTGCACCTGAAATTAAAAAAAAAGATCTATTTCTTGATATATCATGTTTTATTGTTTGGCATGGAAATCTACAGGGCAGTTTATTAAGTAAGTATTGCAATTTTCATGAAGATTCACTGTCTCCTATTATTTATTGATAGTTCTTATATTGCCTCCATTACAGTGGTATCAGAATACCTATCTGAAACATATTTATTCTCACAACACTTCTGTGACTTAGGCAGGTACTATTGTCCCATTTTACAGATGAGGAACTGAGAGATTAAGGGACAGATTTTTTAAGGTATTTAGGTGCCTTGTGTGATTTTTTTAAAAAACTAGTTGATTTTAATGGGTGTTAGGCTCCTAGATGCTTTTGAAAATTCCACTAGGCATCTAAATATCTTTAAAAATCTGGCACTAGGAGACTTGCCCAAGGCTGCATAGGAAGTCTATGACTGAGCAAGGAATTGAATGTGGGTCTTCCCAAGCCCCAGGCAACCACTGCTTCATCCTTCCTTTCACAGTGTGTTTCCATCACTGAGATGTGATCATAAAGATGTGGAACTCACACATTCAATTCCAGTGGCCAGCATCTGACAGGTAGGGGAACAGGAGGCTCCATATTTGTTCTCTGAGTTCTGTGAACATGACACATATTTTTTGGGAGGCTTGCAGTTTTCTAGCAGAAAAAAAAGAGAAACAGAAAGTTATGAAGGGATAACTCATAGACTCATAGACTTTAAGGTCAGAAGGGACCTCCGTTACATGGGGAAAATAATGCTTTTGAAGGCGAAGGTAAACTGTAGCCAAATGCA